AGGGTTTTTAGGGTTTAGGGTTTTTTGGGTTTAGGGTTTAGGGTTTAGGGTTTTTAGGGTTTAGGGTTTAGGGTTTATAGGCTTTTAGGGTTTAGGGTTGATGATATAAACCCTGCATTACCCCATAATAAGGAATTATACCGTAATTCCCATAGTGTAGGGTCCTTGGGGTGATGCAGGATCTATATCACCAACAGTAGTTGGGTACTATTTTGCATCGTTTATGGGTACTTAACACTCAATGTGGAATAGAAGCGTAAGTTTCAGATACTATCCCAACTAAGATCAAGGAAGACTCACGTCATTTTGCAGCTGGCCGGCATGATACTGAGCTTTGTCTACTTCCCGCTGGAGCTCTGCATGTCCTACAGGTACATCAGCAAGAACTTGAATGAAGATGACGATGATGACCGAGTCGGAGGTTTCTTCTGCACTGCCTTTGTTTGCCTACCCTTCCACACTCTGAACGGCGCACTTCTGCTCATGTCCTTCGTGATTCTCGCAGAAGGGACAGATCAACTAGATGATATACTTGCAGTGGACTTGATCGTCCTTTTTCTTGCCAGCCTTTGGTTACTGCCCGCGGTCGGGTTAGCAGTCCTGAGCATTTGTTCTCTCCTGGCGTGGCTCATTACCAGATTGGAAGGTTCAGGGCAGTCGTCACAGGCGCAGAGAACAGATAGTGTCATGGTGGATACTGAGATGATCGGTGCCCACCACGCTTGACTTGGAGTGCAAAGCCTCCATGCAGGAATCTGATTTAAAACTGCGTTGCTCCTAAATCCTCGAGACAACAGGGATTCAGCTTAAGGCTTTATGGCAAACCCGAAAAAATTGGAAACCGGATTAATTCTAATAAAGGACAATTAGTGCTGGGATGGCTTATGCATTACACTTGGGGGTTGAGGCTATTGGGTTTCCAACTTTTTGGCTTCTACCGTAAACCCTAAACCCTAAACCCTAAACCCTGACAAAAGCCACGCTCCTTTCATCAGACTCCCGCGATGCTCTGCCGGAGGATGCCAGAGGCATCCTGAATGATTCTTCGCTCTTGTCCTCTGGGCCCTAAGCGCGTAAACTCTACATCTAAACCCCTATACCCTAAACCCCTCATCCCCTACACCCTATACCCTAGACCCTAAACCCGTATACCCTAAACCCATAAACCCCCAAACCCTGAGAACCTAAGCCCGAAACCCGGGGCTTGTCATAACTTCAGGATGCCCTCTGACTCGGACCTAGAGACTCCGATCTACTAGGGTTTATGAGGTTTAGGGTTTAGGGGTTTAGGGTTTAGGGTTTAGGGTGTTTAGGGTTTAGGGTTTACGGTTTAGGGTTTATTTACGCTTTAGGGGTTTAGGGGTTTAGGGCTTAGGGGGTTTAGGGTGTAGGGTCTATACAGTTTAGGGGTTTAGGGTTTAGGGGGTTCCGGGTGTAGGGTCTAGGCCCCTAGGGTGTAACGGATTAACCCCCAAAAGGCCCAAAAGGGTACAAACCCTAAGGGTCCAAGTACTTAAATTATAATCATATACTCTCCCAAATAGTAACCTACATAACTACTATCCGAAACTTAAGTACCTAACTATTGGGTCCTTTGGACCCTTACTGGTAGGGTAAGGGACCCTAAGCCCTAAACCCCAAACCCTAAAGCCTAAGCCCTAAACCCCAAACCCTACACCCTAAACCCGAAACCCTAAACCCCAAACCCAACTTGTTTTCAAAAGGGTACCTTTTGGGCCGATTGCGCCGCGCGTCTCGCGGAAAACCGACGTCCGAGATCCTGGGTTCGCCGGGTTTGGGGTTTAGGGTTTAGGGTCTTAGGGTTTGGAGTCGTAGGGTTTATGGTTTAGGGTTTAGGGTCGGTTTAGGGTTTAGGGTCTCAGGGTCTCAGAGTTTCGGGCTTATGTAGGGGTTTAGGGTTGTGGGGTGCGGGGTTGAGGGTTGAGGGGCTTAGGGTTTTGGTGTTGGGGCTTAGGGTTCAGGGTTTTTAGGGGCATGCGATTCAGAGGACATGCTGCGACATGGCCCCAAAGGTCCATGTGCGCAGACAGTAGATATTTTGGCCCTAATCCGTTTCACATTGCAGTCTACCCATAGGCCCCTAAGTAGTTCCCTTTTATGGTTTATATTTAGAATCCTATAAGGTAATCCCAAGAAGGCACTACCTAGGGGCCTGTGGGTAAACCGTACATGCCAATCCCTGAAATCCGAAAGCCTGAACCCTGCAGTTTTCTGCTGCCCCGCTCACTTCCACCCTCGAGCCTGGCATTTTGATGCTGCCCCCGGCGCCCCGCATAGAGCCTCGGTCCATTCTACATGAATAGAGGTCGGAATTAGAAGGCTGCACCCCAAACCCTGAGCCCCAAGGAACCTAAACCCGGAACCCTGAACCCTTATATAGGGGCCTTAATAATTCGAGTAGGGTTTTGGAGTACAGCGGACATGCGTCAGATGCGAATGATAAATGTCTAGTCAACCTAAGCAAGTCGGGATATATTATACGATAATCATAATATGGATCCCCCCAAAACCCTATTCTAATTATTAAGGCCCCTATATTAACAGACCTAAACCCGAAACCCTAAACCCGAGGCCCTCAGTTAGGATGTGAATGCATTGGACCCCAACCTATCATAGCGGTCATAAATACCTCTACTCTTCCGGGGAGGGGGGGGGTCCTTATTATATTTACAGAAAACTATACCCCCAAAACCCTATTCTAATTATCAAGGCCCCTAGATTAGAGCCCTGGGCCCGAAACCGAGCCTCCGAAACCTTGACCTCTGGAAGGGTTAAGCCGTAGTGCTCCTAGGAATTATGGTTTTATCTTAATTATAGTAAGATGCCGACGGATTGCTAACAGTAATGCTTGTATTATGGTTCTAAGGGTCCCTTAAAAAGGGTTCCTATATGGGTTCCCAGGCTTTCGACCCGTAAGCTTTTTCGCTAGCCAGGCTTTCTTGTAGCGACTCATCGAAGACAGGGCTCCCGAAGGGGTTTTGAAAAGTTAGGGTTTAGGGTTTATAGGGTTTTAACGGTCTTTTAGAAGGTTTCAGGATCGACCCTAAGTGGGACTCCAGCAAGGCCCTAAGCCCTAAGCCCTCTGTCAGAGAAAAGAGCCCTTAACAAAAGACAGACCTAAGCCCTTAAAGCTTTGGAGGCCCGAAACCCTAAACCCTACTAAAACCAGAGCCCTTAAAGCTTTGGAGACCCGAAACCCTAAACCCTACTATGATGCAGGGCTTGGGACTACCGGAATACGTTGATCGTCTCCTTCCGACCTTTGGGGACTCCTTCTTAACGCAAGACCGCACTCTGAAGCCCTAAATTCTGAACCCGGAAATCCGAAAATACCCTGAACCCTAAACCCTAAACCTCGATACATAAACCTTAAACCCGAAACCCTCAACCCCAAACCCTAATGCTAATCTGCTAATCTAAACCTGACACCCTAAATACTGCAGTTCATTGTCGCGGTAAGTCGAAAATCCAGCAGGCAGCAGCCAGTGGAGGCCATCCTGGTCTGCGTCTTGGGGGCCTCTATTCTTACAGGTTTGGGGTTTAGGGGTTCCTTTAAGGGATCTATACGGGTTCCTACAAGGGCTCCTCAAGTTTTGGCTTTAGGATTTGGGTTCAGGATTTAGGCTTTAGGAGTTTAGGGTTTCACGGAGTTCAAGGTTTGTTGGGATCTTGTGCTGGAAAGTTACATGTACTGTAGATGCTCTGCCTAGCATCTTAGGTCTGAAGGGTGGTTGAATGTAGGGTTTCCATAATATATTAGAACTCCTCCAAAATATGGTAGAATGTAGGGAATCCGATTGTAGGAACCAGTATTATGATTTGGGAAAGTATCCCCCCCCCATGACGGTACGCAGGACCCTTTGGGTAGGTGGGCAGCCTCAGCTGCGAGTGCTAGGGTTTGGGCATTCGGGAGGGTTTCATGGGAGCTTTAAAAATTCAAAATAAGATGACAATTTTGGTTCTTACGGCTTCATGCGGGTCATCCCTAAACCCTTATGGTTCAGGGACACTGGAAAGTTCTACATTCTTTCTTCTCACGAAGCCAGAGTTCAGGCTCTGCCTTTGCTGAAGGGATCCAAAAATGATGTACAGCATTAGGGTTTAGGGTTTAGGGGTTTAGGGGTTTAGGGTTTAGGGGTTTAGGGTTTAGGGTTTCCCATTTAGTCAATGTAGCCCCTGTCAGAAATCTAGTGTACTCTGCCACTGCCTCTACTCATTCATGGACCCAGAGATTTGATAGTTGTGCCAAGTGCACCCCCGTACATTCAGCAGGTTGATACCCTGAACATCTTCCAGAAAATTCTTGAGACCTTCAGGCTTCATGTACCTATATTAGTATATACATATAGGCCTTAAAGCACCTGAACCCCCATTTAAGGCCTAAGCATTTACTCTATGAGTACATGGAGCCTTTGGGTGATAAGTGTTGAGAGAGCGTGGCAGTGTTCCACCTGCAGCAAGCAACTACAGATTCGCTCGGACACTCCGCACACGCCTGTTGGGACGCGGCATACAACTGGCCGAGGAACATACCATAATAAGGAATACTGCCATAATAAGGAATATACCCATAGTAGGATATATATATATACCATCATTCCCATAGTTTGGGGTGATACTGTAGCGAGTTTACGCCTGCCATGAACCAAGTCAACGAAGACGGCACGCCTCGCTTCAAAGACGTCGCTGCTTTTCGACGCTTTGCCAACAGGAAGCAGTTCTGGACGAGTCCAAGAGCGTTTCCTTTTGAAATCAACAAAAAGGTCCCTACATTATTTGCAGTGGGCAGGTTTGAGTAGTGCTCTAGGGCATCTAGGGTTGTGTCTGAAGCATCGTCGGGTTTAGAGCTGCCAGTGGCTGGTTCTTCCCCCAAGCTCTCAAGCCCAACACCCGAGAACTGCAGACCCTAAACCCTAAACCCCTAAACCCCTAAACCCTAAACCCTAAACCCTAAACCCTAAACCCTAAACCCTAAACCCCAACCCTAACTATTCAGCTCAACGCAGCATCCAACCCCGGAGGCCTTCAGCGAGTCCTTTCTCTGCCCCCCTCAACCGCCTCCAAGCGCCGAGCGACACTTCGGTGCCCTTAACTTACCTTTGGTTAGTAGGGAATGGAAGAATGGTAGTAATGGTACTTATAATAGTTCCCATTCCTCCATTCCCTACTAACCAAAGGCAAGTTAACCCATCCTAGCACCCTGAAATCCTGACCTACTGCAAGCTACTCTGGCTGTAGCAATACGCGAAATTTCGCCGGCACAACACCCGTGCCCAAAAGCGAAACACAAATCAGACACGACAAAGCAACAACCTAATTCGGAAAACCTGGACCAGGCCTTCGAGGACAGGCCGAGGGAACGGCAAGCAGTCGGAGGCTTACTCGAGGATCGGTTTGTAGGGGGTTTGGGATTCCTTCAAGACTTACCCTGACCCCCAGGTACCTCCTGTAGACGGTACTAGAGCCCCTAGGGCCCTGTGCAGTAAGTACCTGGAGGGTCAGGGTTAGCTTAGAGCACGGATGCCATACCCTTCTAAGGCGTGGATGTCATGCTTGCCAAGACGAATCGTAACCCCGAGACCCGCAGCCTACTTCCCCCAAGGGCCAAGAGCCCAAAAGGCATGACTTGATATATTTGAGCATATAACACAGTATAGCTGTAACAAGGGACAAGGAACCCCACGGCATAGTATTCCCCATCATTC